TGTTTTATTTTTTCAAGCATCCACATCAACATCTACATTATCTAATAATTGTATAATAGTGTCATCATTTATTTTTTACATAATAAATCAAGTATTTAATAATTAATTTCACACAAAATGTGATATATTTTTTTTTGTCGGCAAATGTGATATCTTTAAAATTATAAATAAATATATGTTTATTTTCAAAATGATATATATATATATATGTAATGAAAGAACAAATGTAAAATCAAATAAAATAAATCCACAAACGATGAAGATGAAAAATAAAAAGAAAAAAAATAATTATAATACACAAGAAAAATATCATTTGTCAAAAATAAATATATAAAAAATTAAATGATAAATAAGCATGCTATTAAAAGAGATTGAATAATTGATAATTTTTATTCTTAAAATAAATCGGTTATTTAGATAAGATCATTTATTCAGTATTAAATATAGATAGATAATAAAGTTTCAAACAAACATATTTATTTTCAAATAATAACAATAGATATCGAAGTGATTTAGAATCACAATAATATTTTAATCGCATGATGATCAGATACTAATCACATAGTTTCATGTAAAATAGGTTTCGTTAGTCAAGAAAAGATTATGAATCGAACAAAAGCGAGCAACTGCGAAAAGAGATTCTTGACCTCTCCTCTTCAAGTTTAATGAGGTATGTCACAAACCTACAACTATGTTGCAACCAAACTAAAAACTCCCCAAAACAATGATGTTTTAGAACACATAGTCTTATATTCTAGGAAAATAAACAAGCATAAAGAAAATAATTTTTTTTAGATAAGGACCATAGGTGTGATCTCTTCGTCATCCAGAAAACGGTAGTGTACAAAGGTACACAGGTCATGCACATTTTGGTTTCTCACAACATGCCTCCATAGATGAGTCCCTTCAGCTAAGGAAATGCCTCGCCCTACCCTCACGTTAAAGAAAATCTCCTCGTGCTAAATAGTTGTTACACGGCTAGTGTATACATACAACTATAATATCTTTCAAACAAAGTTCAATGAAAATAACGAAAATCGGTAATTTTGGCAAAAAAGAAATTTAAATAATCAAAACTTTTAAGAATGTTTATCAAATAAAACTAAGATAATAACAACAATTTTGCTCACCTTTTTCCAATTTTGCTTATCACTCTTTACCTCATGGAACTTTTCATGATTTTGAGTTAGGTTTTGATTTAAGAATTTTACAGAAGAGATGAATCAAAATTGTAAATCAATTTTAACTCAACCAAACTCAACTTCACAACTTTTTTTGAGTTAAGTAAGTATTAAATTCATAACTCAATCTAAACACATAGTTACTCATATTACTAATCACAAATTATATCTTACCTCATGGAACTTTTCATGATTTTGAGTTAAATTTTGATTTAAGAATTTTACATATGAGATGAATCAAAATTGTGAATTGATTTTTTTTTGTTTGTCGATGTGAATCAATTTTAATTCAACCAAACTGAAATTCATAGCTTTTAAAACAAATATTGATTGGTGAATTTTTTTTTAGTGAAGTATGAACTAAATTCATAAGTCAATCTAAACACATAGTAACTCATATTACTAATCACATCCTATATCTTTGGTTTAAGAAACTTGTTAAGAGAGAAGAGTAAAAAACAATGGAAAACGCAAGTTTTCATCAATATCGAACACCAATATAGATCCGAGATCCGATCTGTTATCCGTTCAGATTCGCTCCAAAAATTAGGATATCCGAAGAACCCGGATCCAGATAAGAATAGTAAAATTTAGGATCTGTGAAAAGAGGATATGAATCCGGATAACAATATAGTGAATCCTCTTTTATGAGATCATAAGTTATGAAATTATATTCCCAATAACTGAAATAAAAAGAGTTGTTGACATGAAATATGAAGACAATATAAATGTATACTCTCAACACCAAGACGAAGCAGCCAAAAGGCCAAAGACATCGATGTTAAATGGTAGAGATGGAGATGATAGTCAGTAGCATCAAAGGCATGTCTCATATAAAAACAGAAAATGGCCTTATGCCACAAAATAAATTAAAATTAAAGCATCACATCTCATGTATATATCAAATTATATAATGTTTGAGGTAAAACTGTTATAGTTTATTTTTAATTGCCTTAGTTAGATCTCTTTTAGATATAGGCACAACACTAGGTAATATCTTGTCATCATCACACAATGAATATGAAGATATAGGCGCTTGGACCCATCATCATAAGCTCTTTCTTTCTTTCTCTCAGTGGTATGAGATAATTTTATTGTGGAGTCCGTAAACGATTCTTTTAATTTTTTTATACGTTGTGACAAATCTGAGTTACTTTACCGAAAACATAAATTGTTAGTTCGCCGTTGGAATCTGCATATTGTGCAATCTCGACATGGTTACATTGCAATTGATGAATATCTATTAATAGAGTTGGCTACTTACTCCTTCATATTGACCCATGAAAAAATTGTATATTTAGCATTGATGAACAACTACGAATGACTAACTAATTTATATAAAAATAATTATAGATATATGAAAAAAACTAAATTACCTTTGTACGTTTACAATATCACAATGCACCAACATGTTTTACTTGTATAAATTTATACGCTCTTCCAACCGACCAACTTGCTCAGAAATACAATTCACCTTAGTATATATGTTTAGTGTAATTTTTGTTCAAAAACCAAACATAGCCTAAGTAAAACCAATATCTTAAACTAGACCCAAGTTTGGGATTCCAACCTCTTATGTAGCATACATTATGATGTTAATATACAATGTTATACTAGGCTGAAGGAGGCTTCAATAACAATAAAAGGTATCCCCTTGCTACTCAGCTACCAGCATATAAAGTTGTAAATTTGTTAGAGCAATTGTTGCATACAAACCGGTAGTGACGATACAATAATATGAATTAATAAGTTTTCCAAAAGCAATTTGCTTTTACTTAAGTATATGTTGGTTTTAAAATACAAAGTTATCCTAGTTCATCATATTATATTGTATTATGAAACAAAAAGTTCAACTTTGCTTTGAAAATAAGTGGGAAACACATATAACTTACTTAATTAGTAATTACTGATATTTTTTTATTTCAAAACTGATGAAGAGCTTAATAAATATATTTAATCAATAATGCATATTTATTTCAAACAATAATAATATATTTGT